AGATGAACTAATTTATGAACATTTAATCCTCATTTCTGCCAATAAAAATTAATGAACATAACTTTGCTTTATTGAGTTTTGGTAAGTGCAAAATACCTTTAAAACTACTACAGCATGCATATTAGTATAATACATTGATTCAATGACATTTTTTATCAGAATTGTCAACAAAATATGTTAAATTGAGAAAAATCTCTGAATGACAGGACAATCATCACTAGTTTGATATATATTTATTAAACACAACAGGACCATTGAGGAGCTGTATCAACAGTGACCCAGGGTATGTGATACAGCTTCACAAGGTAATAGACTATATATTCTTAAATCAGATAACTGTTTGCTGTGGTACCACAGCAGAAATGTTAATGAAAGTTTGGAAAATTTTATGGTGAACAAAAAAGATGGAAATTTATAAATCTTATTATACAATTCTTTTCTTAGCTTCTTTCCCATTGATCCGTTACCAGAAGTATATTTTCCATTTTTAGCTCACCTGACCTGAAAGGTCAAGTGAGCTTTTCTCATCACTTTGCGTCCGTCGTCCGTCGTCCTGCGTCCGTCGTCCGTCGTCCGTAAACTTTTACAAAAATCTTCTCCTCTGAAACTACTGGGCCAAATTTAACCAAACTTGGCCACAATCATCATTGGGGTATCTAGTTTTAAAAATGTGTGGCGTGACCCGGTCAACCAACCAAGATGGCCGCCACGGCTAAAAATAGAACATAGGGGTAAAATGCAGTCTTTAGCTTATAACTCAAAAACCAAAGCATTAAGAGCAAATCTGACATGGGGTAAAATTGTTCATCAGGTCAAGATCTATCTGCCCTGAAATTTTCAGATGAATCGGACAACCTGTTATTGGGTTGCTGCCCCTGAATTGGTAATTTTAAGGAAATTTTGCTGTTTTTGGTTATTATCTTGAATATTATTATAGATAGAGATAAACTGTAAACAGCAATAATGTTCAGCAAAGTAAGATTTACAAATAAGTCAATATAACCGAAATGGTCAGTTGACCCCTTTAGGAGTAATTGCCCTTTATAGTCAATTTTTAACCATTTTTCGTAAATCTTAGTAATCTTTTACAAAAATCTTCTCCTCTGAAACAACTGGGCCAAATTAAACCAAACTTGGCAACAATCATCATTGGGGTATCTAGTTTAAAAAATGTGTGGCGTGACCCGGCCAACCAACCAAGATGGCCGCCACAGCTAAAAATAAAACATAGGGGTAAAATGCAGTTTTTGGCTTATAACTCAAAAACCAAAGCATTTAGAGCAAATCTGACATGAAGTAAAATTGTTTATCAGGTCAAGATCTATCTGCCCTGAAATTTTCAGATGAATCGAACAACCTGTTGTTGGGTTGCTGCCCCTGAATTGGTAATTTTAAGGAAATTTTGCTGTTTTTGGTTATTATCTTGAATATTATTATAGATAGAGATAAACTGTAAACAGCAATAATGTTCAGCAAAGTAAGATTAACAAATAAGTCAACATGACTGAAATGGTCAGTTGACCCCTTTAGGAGTTATTGCCCTTTATAGTCAATTTTTAACAATTTGTCGTAAATCTTAGTAATCTTTTACAAAAATCTTCTCCTCTGAAACTCCGTGGCCAAATTAAACCAAACTTGGCCACAATCATCATTTGGTTATCTAGTTTTGAAAATGTGTGGCGTGACCTGGTCAACCAACCAAGATGGCCGCCACGGCTAAAAATAGAACATAGGGGTAAAATTCAGTTTTTGGCTTTTAACTCAAAAACCAAAGCATTTAAAGCAAATCTGACATGAAGTAAAATTGTTTATCAGGTCAAGATCTATCTGCCCTGAAATTTTCAGATGAATCGGACAACCCGTTATTGGGTTGCTGCCCCTGAATTGGTAATTTTAAGGAAATTTTGCTGTTTTTGGTTATTATCTTGAATATTATTATAGATAGAGATAAACTATAAACAGCAATAATGTTCAGCAAAGTAAGATTTACAAATAAGTCAATATAACCGAAATGGTCAGTTGACCCCTTTAGGAGTAATTGCCCTTTATAGTCAATTTTTAACCATTTTTCGTAAATCTTAGTAATCTTTTACAAAAATCTTCTCCTCTGAAACAACTGGGCCAAATTAAACCAAACTTGGCCACAATCATCATTTGGTTATCTAGTTTTGAAAATGTGTGGCGTGACCTGGTCAACCAACTAAGATGGCCGCCACGGCTAAAAATAGAACATAGGGGTAAAATTCAGTTTTTGGCTTTTAACTCAAAAACCAAAGCATTTAAAGCAAATCTGACATGAAGTAAAATTGTTTATCAGGTCAAGATCTATCTGCCCTGAAATTTTCAGATGAATCGGACAACCCGTTGTTGGGTTGCTGCCCCTGAATTGGTAATTTTAAGGTGATTTTGCTGTTTTTGGTTATTATCTTGAATATTATTATAGATAGAGATAAACTGTAAAAAACAATAAATGTCGGCAAAGTAAGATCTACAAATAAGTCAACATGACCGAAATGGTCAGTTGACCCCTTTAGGAGTAATTGCCCTTTATAGTCAATTTTTAACCATTTTTCGTAAATCTTAGTAATCTTTTACAAAAATCTTCTCCTCTGAAACAACTGGGCCAAATTAAACCAAACTTGGCCACAATCATCATTTGGTTATCTAGTTTTGAAAATGTGTGGCGTGACCTGGTCAACCAACCAAGATGGCTGCCACGGCTAAAAATAGAACATAGGGGTAAAATTCAGTTTTTGGCTTTTAACTCAAAAACCAAAGCATTTAAAGCAAATCTGACATGAAGTAAAATTGTTTATCAGGTCAAGATCTATCTGCCCTGAAATTTTCAGATGAATCGGACAACCCGTTGTTGGGTTGCTGCCCCTGAATTGGTAATTTTAAGGTGATTTTGCTGTTTTTGGTTATTATCTTGAATATTATTATAGATAGAAATAAACTGTAAAAAACAGTAAATGTCGGCAAAGTAAGATCTACAAATAAGTCAACATGACCGAAATTGTCAGTTGACCCCTTTAGGAGTTATTGCCCTTTATAGTCAATTTTTAACCATTTTTTCGTAAATCTTAGTAATCTTTTACAAAAATCTTCTCCTCTGAAACTACTGGGCCAAGTTAATTATAGATAGAGATAATTGTAAGCAGGAAAAATGTTCAGTAAATTAAGATGTACAAACACATCACCATCACCAAAACACAATTTTGTCATGAATCCATCTGCGTCCTTTGTTTAATATTCACATAGACCAAGGTGAGCGACACAGGCTCTTTAGAGCCTCTAGTTTCATTAACATTTCTGCTATTCTGATTTTTGTCGAGCCTTCGACTTTAGTTGAAAAAGCGAGACATAGCGATCCTACATTCCGTCGGCGTCGTCGTCGTCGGCGGCGGCGGCGTCCACAAATATTCACTCTGTGGTTAAAGTTTTTGAAATTTTAATAACTTTCTTAAACTATCCTGGATTTCTACCAAACTTGGACAGAAGCTTGTTTATGATCATAAGATAGTATCCAGAAGTAAATTTTGTAAAAATAAAATTCCATTTTTTCCGTATTCTACTTATAAATGGACTTAGTTTTTCTGCCGGGAAATATTACATTCACTCTGTGGTTAAAGTTTTTAAAATTTTAATAAATTTCTTAAACTATCCTGGGTTTCTATCAAACTTGGACAGAAGCTTGTTTATGATCATAAGATAGTATCCAGAAGTAAATTTTGTAAAAAAAAAATTCCAGTTTTTCCTTATTTTACTTTTAAATGGACTTAGATTTTCTGCCAGGAAACAACACATTCACTCTGTGGTTAAAGTTTTTAAAATTTTAATAACTTTCTTATACTATTTTGGATTTGTACCAAACTTGGACAGAAGCTTGTTTATGATCAAAAGCTAGTATCTAGAAGGAAATTTTGTAAAAAGATAAATCCATTTTTTCAGTATTTTACTTTTAAATGGACTTAGATTTTCTGCCAGGAAACAACACATTCACTCTGTGGTTAAAGTTTTTAAAATTTTAATAACTTTCTTATACTATCCTGGATTTCTACCAAACTTAGACAGAAGCTTGTTTATGATCATAAGATAGTATCCAGAAGTAAATTTTGTAAAAATAAAATTCCATTTTTTCCGTATTTTACTTATAAATGGACTTAGTTTTTCTGCCGGGAAATATTACATTCACTCTGTGGTTAAAGTTTTTAAAATTTTAATAACTTTCTTAAACTATCCTGGGTTTCTACCAAACTTGGACAGAAGCTTGTTTATGATCATAAGATAGTATCCAGAAGTAAATTTTGTAAAAAAAAAAATCCAGTATTTCCTGATTTTACTTTTAAATGGACTTAGATTTTCTGCCAGGAAACAACACATTCACTCTGTGGTTAAAGTTTTTAAAATTTTAATAACTTTCTTATACTATTTTGGATTTGTACCAAACTTGGACAGAAGCTTGTTTATGATCAAAAGCTAGTATCTAGAAGGAAATTTTGTAAAAAGATAAATCCATTTTTTCAGTATTTTACTTTTAAATGGACTTAGATTTTCTGCCAGGAAACAACACATTCACTCTGTGGTTAAAGTTTTTAAAATTTTAATAACTTTCTTATACTATTTTGGATTTGTACCAAACTTGGACAGAAGCTTGTTTATGATCAAATGCTAGTATCTAGAAGGAAATGTAGTTTTCTTCCAGTTAACATTACATTCAGTCTGCAGGTAAAGTTTTTAAACATTTATTAGATTCATAAACTATCCTGGATTTTTACCAAACTTGGACAGAAGCTTCTTACAATCAAAAGATAGTATCAAGAGGAATATTTTTTATTGATTTACTTCCTCATTTTTGTTGAGCCTGCGATTAACAGAAAAAGTAGGCGAGACACTGGGTTCCGCGGAACCCTTACGAATTTTTCTATTGATAGAGGCATCAATATCAGTATGTGCATCTAGCAACATATTTTTTAATTGATTGTGTTCTTTACTAACAGATGTCTGCAGTTTTGCCATATTTGTTTCTAGAGACGTGGAAAAGGATTTATTTCCAGGATGTTTTTCTAATGACATCTGATATTTAATGACGTTTCTAGTTTCATCTGTTTCGCCAAGTAGTTCAATACAAAAGTCCATATCAGTTCTATGTTTTGGAACATCTGCCACAGCTGAAGTAAGAAATAATTCCAAATAACAAATTTTAAGATTGACTAATATTATAAATTTTATTAAAATGATAAAAGATAAGACAACACAAACTTTGAATTCGAAAAGATGTCAGTTTTAAAACAATTCACTGAAAATTGATATATACAGTATTAATTGTTTTATGCTTAACATGTCTATATAGTATATTATTTTGTATTTCAGATTAATGCAATGCTTTCATATTATACTATGGTATAACGGATAACAAAATTGGGGTCAAGTTCAATATTAATGAATTTCCCTATACCGTTCAGGAGTTATGGTCCTTGATCTATTGGAATATGGCACTTTATGTCGTTATCGTGAAACTACTTATGAATCACTTGACCATAGCTTTTTAAAACTTCATAAATTATTATATTTTGTAGGAATAGACATGGTAGTCAAGTATGCATTAAAAAGGGAAAACTGGTGAATGTGAAAAGAATATTAACCGTTGCATCCCAAATAATCAAGGGTAAGCTAGATTTTTAATTGATTCAAATTTTAGCAATCCAGTCCAAGTCATTATTACCCAACCCTTAGATGTATATGTATTTTGATATTGAATCTGTTGAGCTTTCCTTTGCTCATCAGTGCCACTTGCAGCCTTGCTTGTTTTCATCAATGTTCTTTTCAAAGTTAAATATCAAGAAATTGTGTAGAAATTGAGCAAGTTTTATAAGACCTAATCTGGCATCTGATTATAACTTCATTTCTTTCCCCATTGGTGGTATGCCAGAATTGTGTTTTTTTTTTTCGAGGATTAAAGAAAGCTCTGTTATAATATTTTTAATAACATTTATTTGGCTTTCTGAATGTTTTGCCTTAAAAAATTTAATGTATTGTAATCAGCAAAGCCACCTTTGTTAGAGTTAACAATGAAGTTCTCCACCATCTTCATCTTGTTTGTTGTTGGTAATTTCTTTAAATTTACAAAATCTTGTTTAACTGAAACAAAAATATATTTAGAAGCATGCAATTATTATAGACTTGGAAAACTATAGGGCCAGTTAGAATCAAACTTTACTGTAATCTTTATTGGCATATTTTGTATCAAAAATTGTCACTGACAAGTCTCCATCAACCTGAACCAACATGGCCAACATAGCTAGAAATAAAGCACAACAATGAACTGCAACTTTTGTCTATTATTTAAAGATAGATAATCTACTGTTTAATAAATCTAAACTGTCAGATGACTCTTTATATAAAATTTATTGGTGTTAAATAACAGTTTTCACAAATTTACTGTTTTAAGATGTAATTAAGTTAAATCACCACTAAATCTTTCTTGAGAAAGAATCTTCTGTATACTTGACCATGTAGATTTTAATGTGTTTTTTTTATAAAAAGTCTACAAAGTAACGAGTCGCTATGCTATTTTTCTCAAGCTACAAGTAAGATTATTCATTAGAAAAGGTGTTTCTGGATTGAAAGAATTGAGGAAGAATTATCAAATAAGATATGAGATATTATTATTAATAAAATATGACCTGTATGAGAAGGTGGCTTTTATAATGTGCTTTCTTCAGAGCTACTTTTTTATATTGCAGAACATTTAGAAATCACAAATTACTATCTGGCGTGGGGATTTGCTGGATCATATATTTAAGAAACTGGCAAGCATAAATGGCATGAATAGGCTATTGTGATCATGTATCAAGTTTTATGCAGGAGAAACAGGCTCGAGTACAGCAGATATATATGTGAACCATTTTGTCTAGGGTGATGAAAATATCTTATTGCAACAGTAAGGTATGTATAATAGAATTGAATGTATTGGTATTTACCTGTATCTTCGAATAATTTTCTTTTAATTCCCATTTTCTTTCTTGCAGTTGTTGTACTTAGTACATCAACATCTATTTTCTTGTCTGTAAGAGGTATGAATATATATATATGCCGCTTGCATTGCAGATATGTAGATCTTATTTTAATTTCAATGCACATAAAAAAAAAAGGACAAGATTGCCAATGAGACAACTCTCCACAAGAGACCAAATGACACAGAAATTAACAGCTATAGATGACAGTACTGCCTTCAACAATGAACAAAGCCCATACTGCATAGTCACCTGTAGAATCCCAAAAATCACAAATGTAAAACAATTCAAACAAGGAAAACTAATGGCCTAATTAAAGTACCAAAACAATGAACGAAAAAAACAAATTATGCAACACAGCAACAAACAACAACCACTGAATAACAGGCTCCTGACTCGAGACAGACACATCCATACAGAATGTGGCAAGGTTAAACATGAAAGTGGGATCACAACGCTCCCCTTAATTGTATATTCGTTTATATGAAGATTTTTTATCTGCTTCATTTGTAAGTGGGTAAAAGAATATGAGTAATATTACTTCCCATATATATATTTGATGATTTGTTCAAAATAATGTTTTTTTTTCTTCAATTTGCTAATTAATGCTATTTAAAATCTTAAGATTACAAACAATTGTATGTACCTTTGATATATGATTTATACATGCATCTAACTTGTTTGTTCTCATCTTCTTTTGTTTGTTGTATGTCTAGTCCTTGTTCTGAAAAAAAAATATTGATGGTAGAGTGAGAAATTTGGTATGTATATTTTATCTTGTTTTATTTTGATATCATTATGCCGTCTGCAAAAAATTTCAAATGAACAAATTTTGAATGGACCAATTTCTAAGCTGATGGTATCTTTTCAGCAGATTGATTCACACTTACAGAGAAAAAAAAATTGAGAATTCAACAAAAAAAGATTTTTTCTCAATTTTCTGACAATGTTAAATATTTGACATGTTAAGAGAGTGGCATACCCTACTTTATAGTTATGTTTAACAATAATGCTGGGTGGTGCCATCTTTTCAATTGGTTTTCTTCCATTGGTCAGGTCATTGAAATTAGTTGCTGTTCCTATTGAAAAATTAAAAGTTTAATAAAACATCTAAGACTTGAGATGATTATTAGAAAATAACAAATAGTGCTAACTAGGTAGCTCAGATAGTAGAGCAACTCAACTGGTGTGTTGAGCAGGTCCCAGGTTAAATCCCTGGCCTAGTTTTTAGTTGAAATTGATAATGATAAAATTTGTATACGCCTGTCCAAGGTGGAACATATTATGGTAAAGCATTGTCTACACTTCGGAAAATAACTGAAAAACTTCCATGAAACTTTTGATTTAAAAAAATGTATTTCATTTAAAAACCATGTTCGCTCACTTTCAGTTTGTTGATGATCAGCTGTTATATCATTTAAATTGTAGGATGTGGTTGATTCAGAGGCAGCTTTGTCATCTTCATCAAGTTTTCCATCTGAAGATCAAGAAAAAAACAGGGTAAGTGTTACAGATTTGTTTTCTATGCATCTGTATACCAGGTCCATGATTAATATCTGATATTCGAAAATGGGCTTAAGGTGGTATGGGTGTCTTAACTAAAAAAGATACAATTTGTTCATAATTTGCAAAGATCTATATATAGTGTGACATGTCAAAAAATATAATACAATTGATGGTCACTGAGCATTTTCTCAAGCTACAAATGAAAAGATAGCTTTTATTTAGAAAATGCACTATTTAAGAGTAACCTCCCCTTAAAATACAAATTTAAAAACATTAAAAATCAAGCAAATGTAATCTTCGCTTATAAAATATTAATATAAATAGGTAAAAATCTTATAATATAAATTTGTTTTATAAATGAAAATTCAAACTAGTTTTCTGCATTCCTTGTCAAATTTTGCTTATTTGATTAAAAATCTGGACCTTAAGTTCTCTGTTATTTATAATCAAAGAAGGTGAAAGATGACCATACTACCTAAATAAGGGTTTCCACATAGATTTTGTCTTTCCTAATTGTATTAATAACAAAAATTTGACCCTTATTTTGTGGTTCACTGAACAACAAAATTAATAGTGCAAGTTTTCTCTGCTTAAGGCTTCGTTTAAAATTGTTCAAGAATGTTTTTGAACAATGTTATGCATTGTTACATGTCCAGTTTATTTTAGATTTGAAAACAAATTGTCATTTTGGTAATGCCCTTATTTGTACTGAAAACGTTTATTTATTGAGAATTATCAATTACAGGAATTTCTGTTTTCGACCAATAATAATTTATATAACTTAAAAAACTTGCCATAATCATTAGTATCCATTTTATTAATATCAGGGTTTGATATATCATCATTATTGCCATTATCTTCAACTGAAAAAGAAAAATGAATTGTTGTAAAATGTTCTGAAAGGTATGTAAAAAAGAATTAAACAGAAAAATGATTACTTAACTTTTCTACTTGTAAGAAGATGTCTGCAAAATTAACAGGTAAGGTGATCTTTTTACTCTTATATAATCTTAAATATAAAAATTGTTTAACAACTTCTAAACTACAACTTAATATCCTTAAATTGAAATGTATTGATCATAGACACTAAAATCTTATGACTTTCAATTCTAAATACCTTGAGGTTGAAGGTGCACACTTGTTTTTTCCAAAACGCTATTGTTTTCTGTGATGGAACTGGCATCATCTGTGAAATATAAATCAATTATGAGTGAACATTGTAGATATTGAAGCTTTCAACCATTAAATATACTATATAGTAAATAAATAACTTTATAAAATTACATTTATATGTACAATTAATACCTTCATCAATTAAATCCACATTTGCCGTAATGTATGTTAATTGACCATCATCATCATACAGTTTCAATTTTGGTAAGGGCAATTGCAAAATATTACTTTTATATTTTGAAACAACATCATGCCAGACATTTTCTAAGACTTGCTGCTCTTTTTTTAAGTTTGAAGACCTGAAGTGGTGTAAAGTAGGACCCTCGGACCTATCACTTGGATCATTTGGACCATCATGGAAGACAATGCCACCATTGTAAAATGACCACCATGTGCCTCTGCCAGCAGCCATAAAATCAGCAATTCTCTCGAGGTGACACTGGAATAATGTTGGCCTCGTCTTCAAGAACTGAGCTGTAAATACAGACCTTGGATGCTGTTTTAATAGCCTTGCTTGCTTGCTGATGAATGAGTCTTGCATATGAAAGGAGTTCTGTTTATGTCCTTCCTTTTATTGGTAATTGAACCTAACAATACAATTTTCAGCAATATTTCCTGGTTGCCTGTTAGTGGTGTTTCTTGAGATTCTTCTGAGGTCACCGAAACATCTCTCCTGTTCCTCTGTAAGGATTGACCTCAAAGAAAATATTCTAAATGCTTCGGCAAGATGTATAGTTATACTATGGAAGTGGCTCCCAAAAAACTTCCTTGCAGTCATTTTTACTGGACTGCAAAAAATGGTTCTACATGTTGCAGCAAATAACATTGTCTGGTTATAGAGACGAAGTATCAATTTTGGTGTTCTCCCTTCGCTAGACAGGTAAGAAATATTTACAATGTCCACCAGCGCATTTACCATTTGTATAATGTTCTCATCAATGTTCTTTTCAGAGTTAATTTCATCAAGAAATTGAGAAAGTTTTATCAGAGCTAATCTGGCATCTGATCCTCTAATTTCATTTCTTTCACTATTGGTGGTATGAGAGAATTGTATTAACTTTTTCTGGATTATAGGATCTTTTATTTGGTAAGGAAGCTCTGTAATTACATTTTTTATCATATTTGCCAGGTCATGGAGTGGTTCAAAGCAGGGTATTTCATAATTTTTTATGTTGAGATCATGAGACGTCATTTTTGGATTTGGCAGCATCAAGGCAGGTGGTTTTCCAATACCATGCATTACAGAATTAAGTATATCTTGAAGATCACCTTTCAAGGAGCAGGTAAATTGTACATGTCTGGCGTCAAGCTCATCCATAATTTCATCTTTTTTCAAGTTTCGTAATGGATTTAAGTTGCCATTTTTCAATTTTTCCAGGGTTATGGAAGATAAAGCCAATCTACATCTGTCGTCCAAGTCTAGTACCTTTGCATTAAAACAGTGCATCAAGTTTGTGAACTCGTCGGCTTTCACACCACACATGCAGGGATAGTGTCCTCCATGTTGTTGGCCGCTTTCGAATTGCCTAGCAGGCCCATCTCCACTAAATAGTCTTAGACAGTCGTAAACCTCAATGTTTTCATGATGTATTGGGGAAGTAATATTTCTCAGATCATCAACTCTATTTTTCAGGTATGCTGCTTGTTCTTCATCACTACTTGCTAAAAATTAATCATTTTTTTTTAAATTAATGCCACCCTTAAAGAAAGTGCTTGTATGTTAAGGTAGGTCTGTATTATTTTTTGGGGACTAACGACACAAGTTGTATGTTTTAGACACAAAAAAACAAAGCTAGAGCAGAAACACAAGTTTAAAAAAAATTTGTAGCCAAAATGTGTGTTGCACGACATCATAAAATTTCTCTTCTCTGCAAGTTGTAAGCTTACAAAACTTCAGTTTAATTATGTATCCATATTTTATTAGTCAGTAGTTTTTATTTTCAGAATTTTGTAATTTTTTGCATCCTTGAATTTATACTCTTTATATTGCATTGGCTATTGCTTTTCAGATTTAAAGGATTGCAAAATCATCTCATAGGCTAGCAGATAATCATGGCATTCATTGACATAATAATTACATCTTAATTATGGTGGATCTGATTTGTTTTTTAATTGTACATGCCAGTTGTAAGAATACAGAACTTTAGTTGAGTATAATTGTTAATTTTTATGCCCCCCGCCATAGCGGAGGGGGCATTAAGTTTAACCCTTGTCTGTACGTCATACGTCCGTACGTCCCAAAATTGGTTTCCGTTCTCTAACTTGAGTTTGCCTCAACCAAATGTTATGAAACTAATACACAGTGCTAATAACCACAAAACGCAGATCAAGTTTGAATTTTTGTGGCGTCACTTTAACCGTTCTAGAGTTATGTCCCTTTACAAATGGAAAAATTGCAAAATTTTTAGTTTCCGTTCTCTAACTTAAGTTTGCCTCAACCAAATGTTATGAAACTTATACACAATGCTTATTACCACCAAATACAGATCAAGTTTGAATTTTGGTGTTGTCACTTTAACCGTTCTAGAGTTATGCCCCTTTATAAATGGAAAAATTGCAAAGTTTCCGTTCTCTTAAGTTGCCTCAACCAAATGTTATGAAACTTATACACAATGCTTATTACCACAAAACACAGATCAAGTTTGAATTTTGGTGTCGTCACTTTGACCGTTCTAGAGTTATGCCCCTTTATAAATTGAAAAATTGCAAAATTTTTAGTTTCCGTTCTCTAACTTAATTTATTTGTATCTTGAGATTTTCAAGAAGTATTATAATTTTTTGTTTTGTTGAGTTTTGTAAGAATCATGATTTTTTTCATTGTTGAAGATGTATTTTTATATAAACAATTATGATTTATTTTGTACTGGTAGATTTATGCAGGATACCATTCCTTATTTTCTGTCTTTTATTTCATGTGTGTTTCTTGGAGAGTGAGGATGATTTTATAGAGTTTCAGAAATAACGTGTGATAAAGTGGATACAGCAGATTGATCAAGTACAAGTTAATATCAGTAAGAAATTCATTATTTTAACTGTTTGACTTTTCTTGAAAACTTGAAATTGTCTTGCCAGTATTATCAATGCAACTTAGTCATTTTAAAGCAAAATTTAGAAAGTAGGGTACAAGATTTGTGTAATCAACACCTTCCATTTTCAACCTAGATCCCTGAAACTTTACAGGAAGTGTGCACATGTGTTGAAGTTGGTCTGCTATTATGGAATTCTGTGACGAATTTAATTTCTGTTATGGACCTAGAAACATTATATATACTGCAGCTGTACTATTTGTGCAGTCAAATTGCATTGACCATATATTTATATGTGATATAAAGTCACTGACCGTATATCGCCTTGTTTATGACGTTGACAATGCATTTCCATAGAGTTTTCTTTATGACGTCAATAAAACGTACAGGTTCGCGGAAATTTTAAGTCGTTCGCTTCAAATTAAAAATAATGTTTTTTACCCTAAATATTTCATTAAGAATAGTATAAGACTTGCAGTATATAAAGAATAACTATACATTGTCTCGAAATATAAATATTATTTGTACTCGGCTCGAAACAGGTAGAAATGTTGGCACAGCCTCGCTTTCTTCCTGTTTCTAAGCCTTGTAGAAATAACATTTATATTTCGAGACAATGTACGGTTATTCTATATTTTATAATTTAATATTTGGTAGCAAAATTTATAAACGGGGTAAGTTTTTTTCATAATTATCTTATCTTTTTTTATACCTTAACTATTCTTGGAATTGAGAAATACATACGAGAGATAAAAAAATTTATACCTGATCGACCAAATATGTACATTCTTGGTTTTTCCACAACAGATTGAACATTTATCGGCTTTTCCTTCGGAAACTTTTCCTCATACTCCTTATTGGTCAAGTAATTGGCTGGATCATATATCCAGGAAACTGTGAAACAAATATGGGAATGATTTAAAAGGCTGCTGTGATCATGCCATAGTTTTATATTTCTTGTTCTCTCTAATGTCTTGAGATATGTAATGGCTTCTTCTTTATTTTCAGGAATCGGTTCATTAATCCTTTGGAACCTTGTTGTAAGTTCATGATTGGACATGGTGCAATATTCCTCATCAGTGAAATGACGAAGAATGCCAAGCTGGATTTGTTCCTGAAGGACAGACATGCGTATCTTGTCAAGCGATATTTTTCGACTGTAGATGACCTGTTTTTCTTCAGTTAATGTACCAGAATTTGTAATATTAGTTTTGATGATGGTTTTAGGATCTATAGGTTCTCCGATATCAATTTCTCCAGATTTTTTTTGGTTGTCAATATCGCTCTTTAATTTTTTGGCAGATCTTACAGCTGGTACTGAAACTTTTAATTTTTTGTAAATAATCGATTTCCTTGCCCTTCTTATACGCCTGGTGTATTCATTACTTGCTATATGTGAGTTTGTTTTAAATTTTGAGATATTGATCCCTATGTTAAGTGTGTACGCCTTCAAAACCTGGCCTGCATTTTGAGGAACTTTGCCATTGATTTTTAAATTATACCTTCTGGCTAGCAAGGACCAGTTAACATAGCTGCCTTCAGACTTTTCCTTTATTTCATTTATGAAACTTCTTTTGTCGAATTCGTAGTTCGAAAAATTACCATGATGTTTTTTTGGCATTTTTCCATGTTGTTCTTTCTGTAGTTGAGTTAATACTCTCTCTCTTGCATCTGTTTTATTTTCAAAGCTAGTGGCCATGCGATCCCTGGTATGCTGGTTAAATGACTTTCCCGACGAAAGAAAAGAAGAAACGTCCTCTCCAGGTGATGATAGGGAAACTTCTAATGAGTTCCTGGTTTCTTTTAAAATTTTTTTCAAATTCTTTTTTTTTTTCTTGAGGTGATTTTATTGGTGAAAGAGACACCTTGACCTGGTTTTGAAACTTCATTTTAAGTTTGTCCTCGACAATTGGCTGGATAATTTTTACCAAGTTCTGGACAGTTTTTAGACCTCTAGTTGTTTTTGAATGGCTTTGCGGAGATGTTATTGATAGTACTGAATCTGTTGCAGCATTGCACAAAGTGTGTAGATTGTTTGCATCACTGGATGATGACAAATGTAGTGATGAATATATAATATGTGTGGTGTTGCATCTTTTGCAGTCTTCTAATGTATGTTCCCTTTTTTCTTCATTGGACAGCTTTTCCCAATTCTTTAGTGAAAAATAGTCTACAAATTTGTTTTGTTGTCCATCCTTATTATTATTTCGCCAGTATTTTTTATCGGTGACATATTTCTGGAGTCTTTTGAGCTTAATGCCAAAGTCTTTGAAATCTATTTTCATTTTTGGATATTTTGACATGAAGTTTTGATAGTTCTTGTATCTTTCCATGATACTAAGATGGTTAGTGTATCTTGGAGCATGTTTGTTCTCTTTATTTTCTCTATGAGCTTCTATTGTAGACAGGTCTTTAGTTGCCCTTGTTATAATTGTTTTCACAAAATTGCAGATGTTCATTTTTTATTTACAATCTAAAAAATTATCTTGAGATTAAAATATGTATACTTGAGGCTAATAACCTATAACTTAAATTGTTAATGGCTGTGCTTTCTCTGATGAAAAAAATATTGTGAAACTTAAAAGACTAAAATCAAAGAGTTGCCATGTGGCTTTATATTAATTTTTTAAACAAATTAACACACAAAAATCAGAGAAATCACTTTCATCATTTTGATAATTTATATATAAGTGATTTAAGGTAGATAGGGTGTCTTCCTCCATCTTGGATTTTGAAATACCATAAAACAATCGGTCTAGATCATTAAGAAAATGTGCAAATTTTGAGTGTAGTAGGTAATTCATGTGTAAGAATTTTCATTTCAATACAGAAAATGACATGTTTTATCATATTTATGGTTGTATTTTACAAAAAACAGGAAACTTTTGTTTTATTTAATTTTTTCCAACTTTGCCACATAAGGGGAGGCAACTCAAATGTAAGGGCAGATAATTCAGATAAAGGTATTTTTACAATAGAATGTGTAAGGAATTTACCTATTTGATTATGTAGCAAGAAAACGGGTCCGGTGACCCCATTTTTTCTTTTTCTTATCTGAAAGCATAATATTTGAGCTATCTTCTCATATTTTATCTCAAAATTCTATGGTGTAGTTTTGGTTTTATGGCAGAAAATTGGGTTTTCCATGCATAATCTATACAAAATCTGTCAATTTTGCACAACCTGTAGCGTGAAAATAAGCCCCGTGACCCATTCTTTTTATTATCTTTTTTAAAAATACATGATATAAACTAAATTTTGGCAAATTATTAAAAAATTCTATGGATTGTAATTTAGACACCCCATCTACCTTAATCCATAATTAACATGTGTTTGTGTGTTGAAACTGATCACATATCCTCTTCAATCTTATCACATACAATATGACCTGTTGTATCTGAAGCATTTGCCAATGTAAAACAGTGGTTTTATTGTCAAAACGTGGTTTTACTTGGTCCCCAATAGCAGAGCTATTCAAATTTAGGTAGTAAAGTTTTTGTGGGAATAACATTTTGTTTTTCTGGTTATCTCCATTCTTATAGCTGTTCAAAATTTTGTTTGGGATAATTGAAGGCTCTCAATTATTAATATGGTAAATGTATGTGGGTGGTTGCATTTTCTTCAAAATCTTTAAAAATGACATTCTGAATTAAAATTTGTAAATTATTGATGGTTAGGTTGCAAAAGAAGGGCCTCCCATAATCCAAACAGCCAATTTTGGAAACTGCTCTAGTGTTCTTGGTTAAAAAGAAACTTGTCATTTTGGCTTACAATTGCCTTAACTTCAAAAATTCCTGCCTCTGACAAGTGTCGGATAACATATGTAAAGATCAAAACATGTTGTGCACTTCAGAATGATTGAAATAATGAAAAAAAGATAGTTTTAAAGTTAAAATTGCATATTCTTTGAAACTCACACAAACACATGTTTATCAATTTACAGCTCTTTCCATAATGCTAGCAAGACCAAGGTTTGTTTGGCTTGCTAGCTTTGTTGTATCAATGTTTGCCAAAGCATTGTAATTAAGATATGTAAGATTGACATCTGGAAACAACATAAAAAGGAGGATTTTAACTTGTAGTTGTATACATTATATTTAAATTTGGTTGGACATTATCAAATAATCAATATTACCTATACACCGGTTTAACTCCGCCTACTTATATTAAATAAAGAAAGCAAGGCAACCAAACCTTTGTTTTGCTAGCATTTTGAAAAGAGCTGTAAAAACAATATTGTATAAATTAAGTATGTTATTGTGAATATAATTATTTCTAAAATATAGCCCGTTTTTGGGACATTTATGGTATACCTCTGTCCGTCCCTCCGTCAATTCACCATTGTTGTCTTAAGTGGAGCGAGGCAAGATGAATGCATGTTAAAAGCAATGTATCAAAAAATTCAAAGAAAGTTCATTATTCCTATTAAAAATAAAATCTTAAATTAATTAAAAACGAAAGGGAGCTCATGTCAATAGATGTAAACAATTCACCAAAGTTTTATGCAAATTGGTTTATGAGTTAATGTCCGTCAATTCTTTGAATTTTTTGATACTTTGCTTTTAACATGCATTCATCTTGCCTCGCTCCACTTAAGACAACAATGGTGAATTGACGACACATTACAGCAATTTATGGACGAGGCTTAGATATGGGGAAATGTATAAGAATTGGTGTGTAGCAAATGAAATACAATACAATTCATTGTTGTTATATTATTCTCTTTTTGGAAAATATATTCTATAATCAATTATGAATTTCCTTGATGCAGATTATCTATAGAATGTAAACTTTAGGAAATATTTTGTTTTCTTTTTTGCATTTCATCATATTTTTACTTATTTATTTGAGAGTCAACATTTTTATTTTCTAACAAGTTAATTAGTCTTTATAGTATAATGGTTGGACTTTCTTGATAATAGAAAGAAGAAAAAAATTCTTTCTCTGATGATGATTTAAATGACAAACTTGACTTGGTTTTTGTCTCGCCTCGAATGAATCAAAAAGCAAGACATAGGTATGCTGTTTCTGGCATCGGCGTCAACTATGTAGATCTCATAAACATGTTTTAACCCCGCCGCATTTTTGCGCCTGTCCCAAGTCAGGAGCCTCTAGCCTTTGTTAGTCTTGTATTATTTTTAATTTTAGTTTCTTGTGTACAATTTGGAGTTTAGTATGGCGTTCATTATCACTGAACTAGTATATATATTTGTTTAGGGGCCAGCTGAAGGACGCCTCCGGGTGCGGGAATGTCTCACTGCATTGAAGACCTGTTGGTGACCTTCTGCTGTTGTGTTCTATGGTCGGGTTGTTGTCTCTTTGACACATTCCCCATTTCCATTCTCAATTTTATTAGTTTGTGATTAGGGCTAGTTTATGGTGAAACTAGTGGTAGGTCAATGATATTTGGTATGCAGTTGTATTAACATTGGCACATCTCATTACCATGGAGATTATTTGGCCCACCCCATCAGTCATGGTCTATTGACTTTGAAACTTTTTGCTGAATAGTTTACATGTATTAGTTTGTGATTAGGTCATTTTATGGTGAACCACTGATGGTAGGTCAAAGCTATTTGGTATGCAGTTGTATAATCATTGGCATATCTCATTTCCATGGAGATTTTTTGACCCCACACCCTCAGCCATAGTCTATTGACTTTGAAACTTTTGCTTCGTTTACATGTATTAGTTTGAGATTAGGTCAGTTAAAGATGAACCACTTATGTTAAGTCAATGATATTTGATATACAAATGTATTGGCATTTGCAAGTTTCATTTCCATGGAGATTATATAACCCCTCACTCTCATTATGGATCATGGACTTAAAAACTTTAACATAGTTGACATGTTAATGTTTGTGTTTAGGTTTGTTTGATGGGAAATACTTGTGAGATTTCAGTGGTTTTTGGTATACAGTTTTATTAGTATTGGCCCATTTTAATTTCATGGAGATTGTTAAGCCCTGTACCTTCAGTCTTAGTCATTGACTTTGAATATTTGCATAACTTGCATATTAAAGTATTTCTATTTTAATTTCAACATTTGCATTATCAAAATTACAATTAGGCGATACATATCTGTGTTAACAGTTTATTAAAATTGAGTTGAAGTATTTACATTGTCAAGTTAATGAAACATTAAGACAAAGTGGGTTTTATTTTATAGATATCTGGAGATGTTATACACTTTAAGGATTATTCTGAATAATATTTTAGATATTTATAATTGCTGAGCATATTCATTTCACGGTTAACAAGATTTTTAGAGTTTTTTTTTTTCATTTGGATGAACTACTTTTGTTAAAAGCAATAATGATATTTAAGATTTCTTGTCTGTGATATTAGACTTGTTCAATTTATTATGTTACAGTAATTGATGTGAAGCAATTGAAAAAAGGGTCAAAGTAAATGTTTTCAAAAATTAATGAAAATTAACAACCAAATTAATTTCAATTGAGGTGTATGAAACATACTTAAAAGTTATCTTTATTTTTTAAAACTTGTATATTTTTTCAATTTGAAAGGACTGATGGTTGTTAAATGTCCAGTGGCATGTCACTACTATTTCAAATAGCATGTATGAGATTTAAGATATCTACTGCAACACAAATTATGTGTTTTATATATAGTAATTTAAACTATTATGAGTATGGATGTGTTGCAATTGAAATAAAGTCCAATCCATTGCTGTTGGATATTTGTTTTTATTAAAACTTATTTTTATAATTATGAATTATTAAATTTTGAGTTTTAGTTGAATTATCCTGTTGTTATAAATGATAAAACCCAAATATATCAGTGTTGATTACTTGCTAGAAGTTGAAATATATGAAAATTGTTGGCCTTTTATGGCTTTCTATGCAATGAAAGCCACAGCTCATTGTTGAAGGCCTTATTGTAACCTATATTTTCATACATCAACGACATTTGGCCTTAGATGGAGAGCTGACTCGTTGACATACTGTCACCACACATCATCTTATTTTTTCATAGAGTAAAATAGATGCTCATTGTTGCAGGACGTATTGTAGCCTATAATTGCATGCAATAATGACTCTTGGCCTTTATAGAAGGAGAGTTGAACCACAGCCATAAATATCACTTTATACATTTAACAGTTAGAACCAAAATGCACCAGAATTGAAAAGAAATAAAGGAAATAAAGACATGGACTCTGCTATGACTATAAAACCATATTAGAATTATTGAAAATTACCAAAAAAGTTCAGACCTGACCGTTAGTTTGTGAATCTCGTATGTTTGGTGTAAGAAAGAAAGACTTTAAAAGTGTGTATTACACAGAATATAAAAGGATATGGAGTATTTAAAATGTTCATGGGACAAAATTGCGCACAATACATACTTTGATTAAGATGAAAACACATTGAGCTACCTGCAATAAAGATATTGTGTACCTTTTATACAATTGAATCAAATTTGGTCCATCATTTCTTTCCTAGAAAACTTTGGATATATATTTAATACTTTGAGGTCCTTTGAGTAGTATAATAAATTGGTCGATAATAAGTGTTTATAGTAAAAATAAGAAAAATGGAGAATAAGCCTCAAGTACACATGTCAAAATGTATGTGGATATAACACTAAGTATGAGATGATGGTCGATTTTGTTTGAGCATTGCTTTCTTAAAGATGTCCATGTTGGGTTCTGGATCTGTGTATGTTTAGATATAGGGGTGCTTGATTTTTGGTATGGAAAAATTGAAGCAAAAGTCGGAAAAAAATTATATTTCTTGTGTGTTAGCAAATATATGTTCAAGTTTAAGGTAAGTTTGTCTTTAGAAATAAAATTTATTTCAGCCTTCTATGTTTGAAAATGTGCATACGGACGCACAGTCCACCCTGGAACAAAAAAATGGAACCTGCTAGGAAACCACAACACTTGCAATAATAAAATACTTTAATTGATATTTGTTATACAAAGTTACAAATATCTACAAAAAATTAAAAAAAAAAAACAATATTATTGACGTTGATAAATAAATAAAACGTTTTATATTATGAAACTTGAACTTTGCCGCCATAAAAAGTTTCCGGGAATAGCAATGTTGTGAATCCGGATTAAGGTTCTGTATTCCGGATCAGCACTACGCTTTTTCGCCGTCTGAAATGTAAACAATAAACAGTTAATAAAAGTATGTTCAAAGTAAATCAAAAGTGCAAGTTGAAGAATTCTTTCATTACCAACAAATATTTGCGGGATATCTTTATCAGGTTCTGTAATTTGCAAAAACTGCTGCTGCTTAAAGTTCAATCGCCTCTGTTTTATTTTAAGATGCCCTGAAATTAACTTTGTCATTAAGGAGAGCAGTATGCGCTAAATAAATACCTCTCTTGGATTTATTATAAAGATAATCATTAAGCAGCAGCACTTTTCGAGTACATGGAACTAAAAACTATTTGTAAAGTTCTTGTTGAGATAGGTACATGCTCATCTTCAACTTGCACTTTTGACTTTTTTAAAACGAAAGTAAAATAATGAATTTATGGTCACGTGACCACTTTCACACTATTTTTAGCACTTCGGCCAAGCCTAAAGTTACAATGTGAGATTGGTTTTATTAAATTATTAAAATGGTTCTAATGTATTACACCAAATACTTCGATTTATTACACCGTATATAATCATCGTTTTTTTCTGGCAAAAATGTGCATTTTAACCAATATGAACCTTAACTGTGCTGCGTTATCCGGTAGATGACTCAAAAGTGAAACATGATCTTTAAACATTCCCTAAAATATGTCACCAGTCACACTAAATATCAAGTATGATATACGATTTATAAAAATAATTCTAGAACATATTTTTTTTTATATTGCCATACATCTGTTGTTATCAAGATACTCAGGACCACAAGCTTTTAACAATATACAAATAAAAAAGCTAACCAAAACACAGGAAAAACAGGACCCGGATGACGTTATCAAAACAGCTTCGGGAAGAATGTGAACAAAAAGATGACGCCAAAATTACTCCAAAGAAGGAGAGATTTCTGATGATTCAATTAAAGCAACAGCAAAATAAGAGAATACAAATATGCTTTTATTCTCATTAATAAAGTGTAGTCTCAAATATAACATAGCATTTTCTTTATCACTGTATAGTCCATGACTGGCTATACAATTGTAAAATTTAACAAGTAGTATAAGTAATTCAATCAACCATATGGGAGGAAACACAGGGTGTACATCATCTATATGCTCCCAATTATTTACGAGGGTGTTGTAGTCCTAGCTAACACCAATATATTATGGTTAAAGCAATATGGCTGATTTTCATAATTTAATTTGAAGGTTGACATTTCAGTGAATTAACGCTAAGTTCTTGGGAAAAGAATTAATCGCCCTATGATAATCAAATATTAGTTTCCTGTGTTTGAAGTGAACATATGGTTTGACCATGGAGATTGTTCTGATCATCATTTAAAGCTTTTCAAAAGTAGGACAATTAACCGCATTAGGAAAATCAGACTACCCAGAACAATATGCATGTTGTACAATGAAGTATAATGAACTTACTGTTATTAAAATCACCATTAACTTACTTTTCTACCTCCTTCTTTTCATTTTCATGATTATTGTGGATGATTTCTCAATATTTCAAAACACAATATAATATAAATAATTCAATACACAAGTGATAATACACAACCAAAAATATATAAGCAAAATTTGTTTCAAACGTCCGCCAAACCTACAAGGCCGCCATGGGGGTTTTGCTCCGAACATTTTAGGACTTAAGGGATCAAACAAGTTTTTTTCTAGTTTCCAAACAATAACTTGTGGAACAGTGTATTTAAAATATGCTTCTAAACAATCCATCAGTGTTTTTTTTTTCTTTTCTTTTGAGAGCCCTATTAACATGCCAATGGTAGGATTTGAATCTTGAATAAATGACTACGGTTAATTTCTACCCAACTTTCATTTTGGTCAAATCACCACTTTTACTTTCAACAATAATTTTTGTCGACATGTTTTACTTATTTCAGTATAAATGCAACTGATAGGACCGCATAAACGATCACTATGTTCATTTCTGTTTCTGACATGTTTATTGTGGAGTGTTGTTTTGTATGGAAAACAAAATATTCGATGCCAACTAAACATATGCCACCAACAATTTTAACACAAATGATGAAATGAAAGCATGGTATCCGTTACTTTGGAGAAAATAGTCATCACAATATTGTATGTTTACATATGATGTTACATTTAATGTAGCGGTCAGATAGGAAACAAATTTTTCTGTTTTCTGCAGCATCTGATAAAACGTACACCTATTGTACTGTTCTTCGTTTAAAAGCTGTTGGAATTTTTGTGCACAGGATTAATAAATGAAATTATGTGCAATTTTATCTTCTGCTACAGTATCCACACTAATGGTCGGTACAGCACCTACACTTTCAAGTTCAACAGGATTGTCAGTTCTTGTAATGTAATCTTTGATGATTTTGTAGTTGTTAAGTATGTTTCATTCCATCTTGAAGTTTCTCACAAATAAATTTTCAAACGAATTAGTATCATCTACCTGGACAGATGATCCTATTGAATCCCATAGTGTTATTCTTATCTGGCATGTGCTGTCGACAACGATAATACCTTGCATAAAGGACATTTTTAAGCCATGACACGACCCAAATATATAAAGTTAAATGTAGTTAATGTTTCATAAAATCATCAACTTTTCTGGATTTTGCATATGTGCATAAGGACATGAGTCTCTATGTTGAATCCCCATAGTTTACCCTTACCCAAGACTCCCCTATGGTAAAACAAAAATAGCTATAACTTAGGATGTTTCTGCCTTCATTGTGAAAATCTTAATTATTTGCAAGAAATGACGGACACAATTTAAATTGTAGTGACATGGAAATTCCGGACAGCCGTGAAATGAGTCCTGTCATTGTAATGAAAGATGTTTTAATGAATAGTTCTTTAACTAATGTGAGCATGACACGGTATTTCTTAATATTTGAATATTTTCTTTAAAGATCTTTTGACTTGTCACTATAAAGATACTGTTCGGAAATCTACAACTCCGTATAAGGTATGCATGTATTTTAATCATTAACTATTATTTAATCTTTCAATTTGTAGGGAGAAGATACATTAATATCATGTCCCCCAAGGGTGACTGGGGAATAAAAGTATGGTAACCATTGGTCTTCCTCCGACCGACAGTAAAACCCGTGCTAAAGTGGGGCGTCCGTATGGCTGTGCGGGATGTACAAATTTGCAGCCACGTCCGGTCAGTATGGGGACGTTAAATCCGATGTCTCGTGTAAAGAGAGTGCCACGCTCTTTGCACGTTAATAACCCTTGCAACAACTCTTTGAGGGGTCCGTAGGTGACCTGTTGCAAGGCTAAATTTCTGTCCCTATCCAATATACCCTCATTTCCCGTGGCAGTCTAAATTTGTCCGACCTCAATCTCAGACGCCCCTACTACAGAACCTACCTATTGTATTTATTTTTAATTTGTTCTCGTCCTGAATATGCATGAAGTATTTGCCACTGGACGTTAAGCAACCAACATTAAATCAATCACTTGAACAACAATCTGAAACTCCAGAGGAAACACATGAACAAAAAACTACTGCTGTTCTGTATAACTTATAAGACAAGTGGCTTTGTCGTGGTCCCTGATGATGGACTCCTTTGTCGATCGCATTCATGTGATCTGATATATTACCACTACTTAGATATTGCCCACATTCGTTTATTCGAAGATTCCTCTTGTAT